AGCGGGTTTTTACACACTTTTTCATCTTTTTCTTTATACAAACCCTAGGCCAGCTGCTCTTTCTCTCTCTATATACCTTCTCTCTAGGATTTCATCTATTTCTAGAGTGTTTCTACCCTAATCTCTTTGTAAGAAAGATAGAGGGTGGCGTGGGCTTCACTTTAATCTGAAAATTTATGGATTTGGAGCACTTTGAGTTTTTATCATCTTCTCCATTTGGTCTCTTCATTTCGAGGTAGGGATAACCTACTCTATTCTATGAGTGTTGACCTAAATTTTAGTCATTTTGATTAGATGGTGTTGTTGGGTAATTTTGGGAAAGTTAGGGTTTCATTTAAGGTTATAAAAAAAAAGGGGTTTTCAAAAGTTAAAATCCATGTGTATGTGAGATTATGAAAAATAGACTTATTGTTGTTGAATTTATGAAAATGTGCCTTAGGGCTAATATTGGGAAAAATGGGGTAAATCCCAAATTAAATGTGACCAATTAATTCGAATAATTAATTTAGGGATTTGTGTAATTGAGTTGCAAACCATGAAATTGGGAAATAAAGGAATAGAATGGTATAGTTGGATCAATTAATCACTCACCTATGAAAATGTTGATATTATATCTGTTTGATAAATTTATTATCTGTTAGAGATAACTGCTTTGGGCTATCGGTGGAGGATAGTCTTGATTATTGTAGACATTGTATGATGATTAGGGAAAATTGAAACTAATCACATTAAATATGTCATTGAATATGATGGTTGGAATAATACAGCAAATGTGTATTGATTGATCATTGTATATGATAAGTGTTTAAATACATTGTATATGTATATTGTTTGAGAAGAGATAGGGGATGTACTCCATGGTTTGAGAGGAGATAGGGGATGGACTCTCAAACCTTTTTGGGAGGAGATAGGGGATGGACTCCACTGATACAACAAATCTGTGTATCACTTGAAATATGGAAGTGTTGAAGTATCAAAGTGTTTTAATATGAGTTATATTCTCATGTGAATTGTGAAGTATGGAAGTGTTTTAATATGTGTTATAGTCTCATTGAATTGTTTGGCCAGGTTCTGAGCCATAATTATGAGTCGAAACTGTATAAGTGAAGGAAACTGAAATGAAAAATGGATGTACTTGATGTTGGATTGAAAAGTGTTGTAAGTTGGTTTATAAGTGTCAACCATATATCAAATGCTATTTTTTAGTTATTTCTCATACTTGGTTTAGTATATCTCTACTGGGCATTGGCTCACCCTATATGGGATATCATTTTCAGGTTCAGGTGATATGCCATCTCCAAGGACATAGCTTGGAAGGTTTAGAGGCTAAAGATTCCATTTTGTTGTTTACCTTTTTGTGTATTACATGTAAATTCAAGCCGAGGGCTTAATATGTATGAGTTAGTACTCTCTTTCTTATAACCAAGTGTTGGCTTGGAAAGTTGTAAGCCCGTAGGGCAGTTACTTTTGTTATCAACATGTAATACTTTTGTGATAAATACTCTGATAAATAGATGTACACTTTATTCTCTTGAATCTATTGTCATTTTCTTGTATCATGAATGTATGAATTTTGGGTTTATTTTGAGGGTGTTATAACTGCTATCAACAGTAATTTGATGAAAGGCTCCATGCATTCTCCATTTGATAAAAAGTTTAAAAAATCCTCAATTTGATATTGGTTTGATGTTAACGTTGGAGCACAAGTTTTGGACTTCTTTCATTTAAGGCCTCGTTTGGAAACAAACTATTTTAGTAATTTTTTGGCATTTTGTGAAAAGATGTTCAAAAAAATAGAGAGAGTGATATAATAACTTATAGTGACTTTTTGACTAAAATATGTAGTTGTCAAACAAGACCTTAAATTTGATAAAAGAAAAGATGAAGCATTGGAGTCGCTCTAAGAGAGCATAGTTGATTAAAGCCTTCACCATTATCTTCTTCAATGTTTGATGATTGGGATCTCTATTAATGCTTATATATATACTAAGGACTTGTTTGGGATGATAGGTTTTTAGCGAAAAATTCATATCCACCTACCATTAGGCCTCATTTCGGAATTGACTATTTTAATTATTTTTTTGACTTTTTAGGAAAAAAAATGTGTAAAATAAAATTATATGATAAAGTTTTAAAAAGTTGTTTTGAGTTGTGTGCTTTATATAATATTTAGAAAGTTACAAACAAAAAAACAAAAGAAAAAAACCCATGAAAATAAAAGGAACTTTTTTTAAAAAAAAAATCAAAATTGTAATAAAAAATTTGGACAGTTATATTAGAGTAATTTGAATATGAAAAAATGTGCGACATAATTTTTTTTAGATGAATTTGTTTTATTATTTATATAATAGAAAATATGAATCGCACGAGTGTGTGTATGGGAAATAGCTGTGTTTAATATCTAGAGTAGTGTTACATGCACCAATTAGTGTACTCATTAGTGTAACAACACTAATTATGACATTATTATTGACCCCACTTGAGAGGGAGATTTCATAAAATTGACATTGGGTCGAGCTAGTCTAGACCAAGCTATGTTAGGCCAAGTGCAGTTGGGCCGAGCTGAGTACATATGGATATTTGGCGCGCTCGGTCAAGGCCCCGGTCTGGACAGTTGGAGCAACCTTCAACCGTCATCCCAGTTAAACATGATCAATCTGCTAGGTTAGACGAGAGTAGTTCGCCAACCGGGCAGGAGCTAGGTCATAACTACGGTCTGCTAAGCCGCAGTGGGATTCTTCAATGAAACCGGACAAGTAGCACGGTCGCGGTGCGATGACGTGGCGTCGTGCTAAGCGTAGCTCGGTCGAGAGTATTACGTGCCTCAGAAGTATCATGGTCTTGGTGTGATGGCCCGTCACCATGCTATTCGTTCGCGCCAGGGCCGTTTGACAGTTTTTGTTAGGTGGTGTTAGCTGTATTTGCGTTGACATGTGGGAAAATGTGAGAGGAAAGCAGATCCACGCATCTGGAGGAGATTGGACGTGGAAGCGCACACAGAAACTATATAAACACATAACGCCTCCATGCTCAGGTCTGGACATTTTTCATGATCATAACTCACCTACCACATTTTCTCTCTCTTTTCTATCTTGGAGTGTGCTAACTTGACTGTTAGTGGGGTTTTCCGGCTGCACATCACCGAGTCGCTCACCTTCGTTGTGTTCTCAAGTCGATCAGAGTGATGCGGAGCTTGGACACAAGGAGTACGGACATCATCGGATATTTGCTCTTCGTACAATTGGCGCCGTTTGTGAAAAGAACTTGACTGACAACCTCGTCCTTCGAGCTCGTCCAATCGTCCTTCATGGCAAACAACGACGACATTCCGCTGTCCACCATCAATGGCATCACTCTGGAGTCTATTCAGAGAAGAGGTGGTCTTCCCATCATCCCTACCATGGCTGGTCTGGAGATCTCTCCTGGTGAGCAACCCAAAGATGTGCGAGACAAGTGTGCAAGGAGCACTGACCACTCGCGAAGCCCTGATGGGCACCGGCGGTGAAGAGAGTCACATGCTTAACACCTGGAGCATAAGCTGAAGGATCAAGACGCCATCATCCGAAGGATGACGACAGAGATGGAGACACTAAAGCGACTGGTCAAAGGGAAGGGTGTTGCTGGAGTGGGTAACCACATTGAGTGTACCCAACCCCATCGCTCAAGCAGCCAGAACCAGTGGCACACACCCTCTCTCTCCATCACCATAAATTATAGGGTTGGAGACTCTGACGCGCCAGCAGAGAAGTCTTGGCGCAAGACAGTAGTTAGCATCCCTCATGTTTGCCGACGACGTCGAGGTATTCCTACACTGCTTGTTTGGAGGACTTAAGGGACGTCTTGGAAGAGTGAGCGAGCGAGCCGGCAGGAGGCACAAAGGGTGCCAGCGCTACAGCGGTTATTCTACGGAGGTCGCGCCAGTGAAGAAGTCATAATGTCGCCACCCCGTCCAGTTGTACATGTCCTTTTGGACAAAGATTTGGCAAGGCTGAGTGTCACCCCCTTCTTCGTTGAGATAGAAATCACACCGCTCCCTGTGGGCTTTTAGCAGCCCAAGTTGACGCTCTATGATGGGAAAACCGATCCATATATGCACATGAGCTACTTCCGGCAAGTCATGGCTAGATACAGGCGTAATGCCGCTCTCATGTGCCTTATTTTCCCATCTAGTTTGGGCGAGTTGGGCTTAAATTGGTTCGAGCGGCTACCGGAGGAAAGTATCGGAAGGTGGCAGCAGTTGGCGGAAGCATTCGTGACCCGATTTAAAACCAACACCAAAACGCCAAAGGAGGTTGACCACCTTCTGAGTGTCAAGATGGAGCCGGGCAACTCCCTCAAAGCATACAACGCCAAATATTAGGAAACTTTCAATAAGATCCTTGATTGCCTGACCAACCTGGCAATCACCCAATACAAGCGCGGTCTTCTGGTCGGACATAGACTGAGGGACTCGCTCACGATGAACTAGCCAACTTCCATGGAGCTGTTGTTGCAATGCATCAACGAGCACATCCGAGTAGAGGATGATGTGACCGCGGCCACCGCGAAGATGAATCCGGTGGCAACGAACAAAAGGGTGGCTGGAAAAGTCCACACGGTCAAACATGAGACAAACTGTCCAAGTGACCGCGTAAGAGAATCATACTGTGGTTCGGATTGTAGAAACTGAGGTAAAGGTCACTGCAGCAACTGAGCTGATTATCCCCACGATGCCGTAGCCGATGTGAATAGAAAGTTGAATGCCCAAACAGGCATCACCATGATTTTTAAGATCCCAATTTATCGCATACTTAGCGAAATCCGAGACGAGGTGTACATCCAGTTTCCGACCAAGTTGGGCGATGCGCAGAAGGGCTTCAATCCGCGATATTGCTGCACCTTTCATAGTGAGCAAGGGCATCGTACGGAGGACTGTTTTTCCCTGAAACAATACTTGGAGGAGTTGGTTGCCGCTGGTCATTTAGACCGTTACATCGGCGGGGGCGTCAAGGCCGTACACCATGCTCCCGGTTGAGCCAAGTGGTTTAGCCGCCCTAAAAACACCCCCCCAAGGAGTGATCAATGTGATCCATGGTGTCGTTAAGCCAGCGCAGGTTTGCAAGCTCAGAGGAATGATCAAAAAAGTGGAACATATGAGGGAAGTCCTGTCAGTCCAGCCCGCAGTCAAAAGAGGCAAGACCAAGGAGAAAAATATGTTCAGCTTCTTAAGTAGGGATATTGAGCGCATTCAAACCCCACACAATGACGCTCTGGTGGTCACCATTCGCGTCAGGGACTTTGATGTCAAGCGCATTTTGATTGACCAAGGTAGCTTGGTCGAGATCATATACTACGACGCCTTTAAGCAGCTCAAACTCAAAGATGCAGACTTGGCTCCGATAACTTCGCCACTGGTTGGTTTCAACTCACAACTGGAGTGGCCTATGGAAAAGATAATCCTACCGGTCAAAGTCGATCCGTGGTGAAGCAGGTGGAGTTCTGGGTGTTGAAGGTGCCCTCCACATACAATCTGATCCTAGGCAGGGAATGGCTTTACGCCATACAGGAGATGGCGTCGACCTACCACCAAGTTATGAGGTTCCCTTATGCTTTGGGGGCGATTGAAGAGATTTAGGGCGATTAGGTCATAGTTAAGTAGTGTTTCGTGGCTGTGAATGGGAGTCGAGCCGCCAAAGGCTTCGTGCAAATAATCGTAGGCCCGAAAGATCGAAGTGTTTTGGATGATATGGGCACTAGGGTTGAAGAAAAGGCCATTGAGGATTTGGTGGAGGTGCGGATCAGCGAAGACAATCCGGACAAGTCCTTCCTATTGGGATCCAGCTTGACTGCACAAGAACGGCTGAAGATGGTGGAGTTCTTGGTGGCGAATATTAAAGTGTTTCCATGGATGCCTTACGACATGCCTGGCGTTAATCCAAGCTTTATTTGCCACTAACTCAATGTCTTCCCAGACATTCGGCCTGTTGTTCAAAGAACGAGGATATCTGCCCTTCATCATGCTGAGGTAGTGATAGAGGAGGTCAAAAACTTGCTTGAAGCTAGGGCAATCCAGGAAGTGCACTACCCTCAGTGGATTTCTAACACGGTTGTGGTGCCAAAGAAGAATAGGAAATTGCGAGTTTGTGTTGACTACAAAACAGTCAACCAAGCTTGCCCCAAAGATAGTTTTCCTTTGCCCAGAATCGACTAGCTGGTGGACCTTACAGCCGGACACAATCGACTCACTTTTTTGGATGCATACTGCGGTTATCACCAAATCGCCATGCATGAGCCTAACTGGGAGATTACCTCTTTTACAACACTAAGGGAATTGTTTTGCTAAAGAGTCATGCCTTTTGGTTTGAAAAATGTCAGGGCAACCTTCCAGAGAATGGTGACCAAGATTTTCGCAACACTGCTCGGCCGCATGATGGAGGCTTACGTCGATGACATGGTGGTCAAAAGCAAACATGAGGCCGACCACTTGGCCGACCTAGCAGAGATGTTCGCCATTCTTAAAAAACACAAGCTGCGTCTAAATGCATCAAAGTGTGCCTTCAGTGTGGGGTCAGGGAAATTCCTAGGTTTTCTGGTCACCAACCGAGGCATCAAGGCAGACCCCTCCCAAATTAGAGCCGTACAAGAATTGAAGTAACCCAACTTGGCAAAGGACATGCAACATCTTACCGGTATGGCAGCCACGCTTAACCAATTCCTAAGCCAATCATCAGATCATTACTGACCTTTCTTCCGAGCTTTGAAGTCCAAGTTTTCATGGGATAAAGAATGTGACAGAGCTTTGGCCGAGCTAAAGACATATTTATCTTCCGTTTCTCTCTTGGTGAAGAACTCTACCTTTACCTGGCTATTTCTCAATATGTTGTTAGCGCGGTTCTTGTCCGGGCAGAAGGCATCCAACATCTGCGGATCTTCTATGTAAGCAAAATCTTGCTCCCGACGGAGTCAAGATACTTGCCACTGGAGAAGCTCACCTTGGCATTAATGATGGCCTCAAGGAAATTAGCACACTACTTTCATGCTCATATGATCGTGGTACTGACTGAATTCCTTTTGAAAGCCTTGTTTGAGCGGGCAAACTTTTTTAGCTGAATCTTGAAGTGGGCAGTCGAGTTGGGGCAATTCGATATCAAGTTTCAACCCCGAACTGCCATCAAAGCTCAAGCATTGGCTGACTTTGTTGCGGGATTCTCGCCCGACATTCGTCCAGTTTGCCTGGTGGACTTTACCGGCACAACCGAGCTTCGGGGGGTAACTGTAGCAAAAATTGCACAACCTCCCATCCAACCGAACGATCAAGGTGACATGGAATTTGCGTGCCTGTCCACAGACCCCTCACTCGAAGACCCACTTCAGCCTTGCAATGCACCGTTGGATTGGGAATAATAGGGCAACCTATTGGATCCAACCCCGCATTGCCAAGAGGGATGAAGGCATGCTTGTTGCAATTATCAACGGTGCGCTTACGGCGAAAGTAGCCGAGCAACTCTGATCACCTAAATCATCAAACATCCCAGGACCTCGCAGAATGTTGGAAGCTTTTTATCCGCGAAATGTGGAAACTTTTTGTCGATGGCGCTTCTAACATACATGGAGTCGGGCTAGGCATAGTGTTGATATCACCAGACAGACTAACTATTGAACATTCCATCACATTCGGGTTTCTAGCATCAAACAATGAGGCAGAGTACGAAGCATTGCTAGCCAGACTGAAAAGCATGCTCCGTTTGCACGCATCCGAGCTAATGGTCTACAGTGACTCCCAACTCGTTGTAAACCAAGTGTTTGGGGAATATGAAGCCAAAGATGACAGAATCGCCAAATACCAAACCTTAGTGAGAGAGCACATCAAGAAATTCCAAGCCATAAAAGTCCAACAAATTGGCCGTGAAGACAACGGCCGGGCATATGAGTTGGCCGGTTTAGCTTCCATGGTCAACAAGTCAACTCCCAGCCCTCTTCTGATTAAGTTCCTCCCAAGACGCAACATTGAAGACTCAGAGTAGGCAGAATTACTCTGTACCGAGCTTGGTCCTTATTGGATGGACCCCATCATCTTTTTCCTTAAAGAAAGGATTCTGCCGACCGACAAGAAAGAAGCACACAAAGTCCGGGTGAAGTCTGAGTGGTTTTGGCTCTCTCCATTTGGTGCTTTGTACAAAAAAGTCATTCATCGGTCCATACCTCAAGTGTGTTCATTTGAACGGAGTTGATGCTTTTCTTTACGAGATCCACGAAGGCATGTGTGGAAGTCACATCGGGGGGAGATCTTTAGCCTACTGCACTATTTCGCAAGGATATTGGTGGCCATGCATGCAGGCAGATGAGCAAAAATATGTGAGAAAGTATGAGAAGTGCCAGAAGTTCACCCACCAAATTCATCAACCGACTAGAGAGCTCCTCCCTCTCACAAGTCCTTGGCCTTTCGCAATGTGGAGGCTCGACATAGTGGGACCACTCCTAACTGCACTGGGCAATCGCAAGTTCTTTATAGCAGCGATGGACTACTTCACCAAGTGGGTTGAAGTTGAGCCCCTGGCGACAACTAAAGAAAAGGATGTGAAGAAATTTGTTTGGCAGAATGTGGTAACACGGTTTTGAGTTCCCAAAGCTTTGATCTTTGACAATGGCACTCAATTTGATGGCCGATTATTCAGAGAATTTTGCGATGAACTTAAGATAAAATTTTATAATTCCACCCTGGCCTACCTTTAGTTCAATGGCCAAGCCGAAGCATCAAACAAGACCATTCTAGATGGGTTAAAGAAAATATTAGAGAAAGCCAAAGGAAAGTGGGCCGAGGAACTCCCAAATGTTCTCTGGGCTTATCTAACAACACCAAGACGCTCGACCGAGAAGACACCGTTCGCCTTGGCATATGGTATGGAGGCGGTCATCCCTTTGGAGATCGGTATACCCACCGTCCGCAGTGAAAATTTTGAGCCCGACTTAAACGCCGAAACCATTGCCTTAGAATTGGACCTCGCAGAAGAGCGCCGAGAAAAGGCCCTGATCTACATCGCAGCATATCAACAAGAACTATCTCGTAAGTATAACAAGACGGTGCACCCCAGACCATTCAAAGTTGGGGACTGGGTCTTGAGGAAGGTAATGGGCAACACCCTAGTGTCGGGCAAAGGAAAGCTGGGGACAAACTGGGAGGGGCCTTACAAGATCATTGGTCTGGCGGGCAAAGAAGCGTACAATCTAGAAGACTTGTATGACAACGCTATACCACGGCCGTGGAACGCAGCCAATTTAAAGTTATTTTATTTTTAATTTCCATTTTTCAATGTAATTTTTTTGATAGGGGCAAACATTCCCCTCGATTTATCAATGTAATTCTTCTTGTCACCTTATAATTCCAATTTGAACGTAATAGCGAAGAGTTACTGTACACAGTCAATTGGTTCGATTATGGGGATTGCGCAATGAACAAGGGACAGCTGCCCCTAGCCGAGATGATTTAGCTCATATTAGAGTTGATGAAATGTTCAACTCTGCTCTCTTAACCAGGATGATTTAGCTCGGCAATAGAGTTGATGAAGTGCTCAAGTGTTTTCTTTTAACTGAGGTGATCTTGCCCGGTCAACTGAGTTAGTGATATGTTCAACTCTAGAATTGAAGCCAGGATGATTTAGCTCGACAAGAGAGTTGATGAAGCGCTCAACTCTTTTCTTTTAACTGAGGTGATCTTGCCTGGTCCATTGAGTTGGTGATATGATCGACTCTAGAATTGAAGTCAGGATGATTTAGCTCGGCAACAGAGTTGATGAAATGCTCAACTTTTTTCTTTTAACTGAGGTGCTCTTGCCTGGTCAACTGAGTTGGTGATATGTTCAACTCTAGAATTGAAGCCGGGATAATTTAGATCGGCAACAAAGTTGATGAAGTGCTCAACTCTATTCTTTTAACCGAGTTGATCTTGCCCGGTCCACTGAGTTGGTGATATGATCGACTCTAGAATTGAAGCCGAGATGATTTAGCTCGGCAACAAAGTTGATGAAATGCTCTACTTTTTCTTTTAACCGAGGTGCTCTTGCCCGGTCAACTGAGTTGGTGATATGATCAACTCTAGAATTGAAGCCGGGATGATTTAGCTCGGCAATAGAGTTGATGAAATGCTCAACTCTTTTCTTTTAACCGAGGTGCTCTTGCGCGGTCAACTAAGTTGGTGATATGTTTAACTCTAGAATTGAAGCCGATATGATTTAGCTCAGCAACAGAGTTGATGAAGTGCTCAACTCTATTCTTTTAACCGAGATGATTTCCCTGGTTCAACCAGTGGGTACTTTGTCCGGCATGCATCGCACGGTTTCAAGGAAGACAACATACATTACAAAGATATACGAGATAAGTCGCTAAAGAAAACTTTCATTGATTGAAAATTTAAGTACATAAGGTGGGGCTTATAGCCCGGTTACAAAAGTTTTAAAAAAAAAAAAAAGATGGAGCGCTAATGGCTATG